TTAGCTTGGAACGGAGCTAGGAACTATTATGTCTTATCAACATTATATAAACTAGACAGTATCCCACGCTTCGCCGCAAGCAGGCTATTATGTCTAGAGTTAGAACATCTGAACTTAAAGTGGTGGCGTAAACAGTGAACATCTTTGAATTCAATGTCTTCAATATTGATGTAACAATGGTACTGGGATCAATAGAGCTTCATGAAGCAAAATGTCATTGGAACTTAACAGGGCACTTAAGCAATTTATTACAGCCGGGCTCTAGTTCTGATTAGGGACAGTAATAGCAAGGTACAGCCTGAGTGTCATAGGAAAGGCAAGCAAAGCAAAATTAAAAAGCTATCGTGGCTGTAAATTGTAGTAAGTAACAGGGACATGCTGGATTCCTTAACCACCTGTGTGTGGGATACCACTTTTGATCAATTTAATCAATCTTACCAAATTGACTAAAGTGCTATCCCAGACAGACTAACAGACAAACCACCGGCCATACAAAAGCATGATCCAGGTACATAAATATGAAGCCACATAAATATCAACCATGTCGTCATACCCTGCGCTGGTCACAGGTCGGCATGCCCTGCGCTGGTCACTGGCCTTGCTTTATTTCCGCTGACCCAGTTGAGGTAGGCTCATCTTTGATTTCATTTTTTGGGCTGCTGCACAAGAGGAAGAAACCACTTAGTAATATTATATTTGTTACAACGGTATCAAAGGCTTACAGAAAAGGTATTGTATCAGACAGGATATGAATAAGGTTTTGCGTAACCCAATCGACTAATTCATCTGTGATAAGATGTTTCAAAATCAGGCAAACGGGCAACACAAAGCATGTTTGAAGACTACAAAATTTCCATGGCAATGGCCCCACGCAGCACAAGGGTCATTACAAACTACAGATGCTCTAGCAAGAACAGTGTGCCTGTTCGGCAAGCTATGCTGTTGCTGCAGCAGCCAACCAGCAAAAGCAGCAAAGGCAGTAGCAAGCAAGCAAGCAACGGCAGGAAGCTACGAGCAGCAAGAAGCCAGCAGCGGCAGTGGCTTAATGTGGAGCAAACAGGGAAATAAAACTGAGATGAACAACAAATTGATTTCATTTCAGGGACAGCATGATACATTCATTTTTTGAAGCTACGAAACACTCCTGTAACATTACTTCTACATTCAGACATCTTCCCTGATGGATCAGATCCATTTATGTAGAGCACCACACATTCTAGAACTGTGATTAAGCAGACCACCTGGACAAATGGATGACTGCAAACTGCGCACAGCAGGGCAAGAATCCAGAGACAACATTATGTGAAATCGAGAAACCACTCTATGTCCAGGTAATGCGACCTAAAAACTATGCAGACAAGCCTTTTTTTTATAAGGCAGGAAACCAATTAGTCCTATACATTTGAGTTAACCATCAAAAAGTTCGTGGTAAAACAGTGATGCTAGAAAAAAGTTGATACATGGGGTATCACCATAATCAAACATAGATAACCATGCCTGGCCGGAAAACTAGGGCAACAGTGATTTCCTGGCTGGAAAACTAAGGATCTTAATTTGGGTCCTGTTTAGTTCCACTTCATTTTGCTAAATTTTTCAAGATTCTCCGTCACATCGAATCATTTGGACGCATGCATGAAGCATTAAATATAAATAAAAAATAAAATTAATTACATAGTTTAGACAAAATCCACGAGACGAATCTTTTAAGCCTAATTAGACTATGATTGGACATTAATTGCCAAATAACAACGAAAAATACTACAGTTGCATTTTGCAAAAAAATTCGCATCTAAACTGGGCCTTAATATGATTCCCATGAGGTTAGTATGGCAACTCATTTCTTCAGCACGGCACGCAGTACCCACTCTCGACTGTTGACTCCCAAAGGTCTTGTATGTTCAAGAAGAGAACCACGCGTGGTTTGTTCTGTTGCATTGCATGCCTAACTACGACACTGCGTGCTTGCGTTGCGTGCACACATGTACTGAGGAGACAAACATGCATGAAACAGTCTTGTGCTCTTGCTTGAATAGTTGGCATCGACGTGTTCAGAAATACAACCAGGGAATAATCCACGGTGCTTTTCTGCTAGCTGCTGCCGTCGCCGCGTCTGTTCTTTGTCGAGAAGGGGTTGACTATTGTGCACCTGCAGCTGCCCGGATGGATTTGGATCTGTAGGCTGGTTCACTGCTCCACTGCACAGTGACAAAGGCAGGTGCCAATTGCCATGTTCGCTTGGCTGATAAGACATGGCTGAAAGTACTGTTGGTTAATTTGTTGTGAGAAAAAAATACTGTACTACCGCCCTAGGCCTCAGATATAGGCCTCACCCCATATAGTGCATTAATATTAGTATATTAGTAGTCAGCCTGTTCGTTTCGTTGTAAACGATCGTGAATTATTTACTGCTGGCTGGTTTGGTGTGAGAGAAAAATACTGTTCCAGCTTATAATTCACGATCATATACGAACATGCTGAGTATTGGTATATATGTATTACATAGTAACGTACGTCAGTACGTGGCCTCCTATGGCCCAGTACAGCAAGCGCAGGTCTGGGAAGGCCATTCAGAGCTTGGAAGACGAAGTGAATCCTAAACGCTAACTGCGCGGCCGCCAGACGCTCGACGCAGCAAAATCATCACGTAGCATGACACAGAGGTGGATTGCTATTCAAATATTTCAATTGCTTAGCGGATCTTATTTACCGTGAGCTGAAAGAAGCTTTTCGAAGTTCAAATTATAGAAGAACTACTTGAGGTCAACAATGTCTCAAAAAAGATTAAATAGTTTGGATGAGATTGATATCAATAGTATCAATGACTTTGCATCTCGAAATGTTAGAAGAAATTGTTTAAAATAATGTAAAGTGCCAAGTGATTTACTATTACATTTGTCCATTTTATGAACTTAAGCCATTTTAGTGCATTGAATATTATTTTTTAATTGATGTGTATTTGAAGACTATATATATATTTTGAGAAAATGGATTAGGCGTTCGTATTAGTTCTCGACCTAGGGAACGGCTCTGCAGTTAGTATCGAAGCATTGAGCACTGCTTCAGTTTTTCCTTTATTTTTCCGTCGCACGAGGCACGAGCACGACTCACGGAGAGCGGCAGTGCATGTCCATATTCCACGTCATTGGTTGAGGGTCAGTCTCGTACTCTCTCTCGTTCACCAAACGGGTCATCAAGTACGGAGCCACAGACCATTGAGAGATATGCAACCTAATAAGATGAAAAAGCAACCTAAGATGAAGATCGTTCAAGACTAGAGTTCGATTATTACCGTACTTGCAGGACGACAGTAGTAACGCTGTAGATGAATGAATAAACAAAAATTAACGTGCAGTACAATACTAATGTGTTTCGGTTAAGCATAGCTGGACGCGCCACTTTGCCCATTTGCCGGACCGAAGCGAGATGCGAGGCGCAGTGCCGGCCGCGGCGGCGCGGCCCGCCTCCGATCCGACAGCGTAGCTGCGCCAGCACACCACCGAAAATTCTGACCGCTGTCGTGTCGTGGTGTCGCTCCACGACCACGCTCGCGTTTCGCCCTTCGCCGCCCCATTCGCGCGCCGCAGAACCAGGGCCCACGTAGCCTTTCCCACTGTATCCGGGGCCCGCGCGTCGGGGCCACCACCGTCAGCCGCACGGAACCGGAACCGTCACCGTCACCCCGGCCAAGCGCCAACGCCGCAGAGCAGACGGAACGGCGGGGCCCGCCACTCCGCCCCGGCTTTCTGCCGCTCCTAGCATGCGCCCTGTTCGCTTGGCTTAAGCCGTACTTTTTCTGCCCAACGAATTCTCTCGTAACACTCCGGCTGCCGCTTTTCCCTTTACTCCCCCGTGCCCTCTCCCTCCTCTTCGGGCGATCGCCATCGCCATCGCCGCCGCCGCCCACCGCCCACTCCTGACTCCACCACACCCGCCGCGCGACCGCAGCCGAAAGTGGCGGGGCGGTGGTCGAAACCCAAACTCCCGAGCCTCCCCCCACTACTCTGGGCTCTGGTCTCCCTGTCCCTGTCCGTCTCTCTGAGTCTCTGCTGCTAGTATCCCGTCGCGCGGATACGCGCGCACGTTTCGCGCATACGCCAGTACGCCACTGCTCTGCTGGCTTTGACCTCGGGGGCGATCCCTTGCTGTTCTTGACTCGGCTTTCTCCTCCGTTGCTTCCTACCCCTGGTTGCTGTCATCACCAATTCGCCACAGGGTTTCGGTTCACTGCCGTTGTCCGTTTCTTCTTCTTCCGCTGCTGCTCTTTGGAGTTTTCCCCAGGCCTAGCTCGCACCTGCTGGGCTGCTGCTTAGTTTCTTCAAAGGTATGTACGCTCCTACGATACCATCTGATTGAACTGGGGTTGTACCTGATGAGCTTCGGCTTGGCTCTGGGATGCATGATCTCGCTTTGCTGATCTGTGGATTTCAACCATGGTGCTGAGCTGTTAGGGTGAAAGATCTGTTTGCCCTTTGCTTGATCAGAATTGAAGGTGGCGGCGTCTCAGTTGTTCGTGTGCCAGGATCGGATTTATTTACTCCTCGGATTGGGATTAGGTTTTGGATATTAGAATCTGAAACTATTGCTAGAATGATGGTATACTATCGCTGGTGATCTGGTGGTCAGTCTATAAATTCCGGGGTAGATTTGGTCTGTTTCTCCGACAAGTGCCTGCTGTTGCTGATCTAGAGTCCAGCTTGTAAATTCAAGGCCGGACTTGTGCAGTTACGACGACATGGGCTCTAATTGCAGTTACTGTCGTTTGATCTAATATGCGTTAGCTTTGTTTGTTGATTTTCCTTTGAGAGAAACCCCCCTGAATCAGCTTGGTTTAACTCGTGGCGGAACTTAACTTCCTTTATTATTAAATTAGCAAAGCAGAAGCTTCCAAATTCTGTTGTATCTTCCAATTAATCCATACACTGCCGCATTGTTCTACTCAGCTTAACCTCTCTATTTTCTTCTCTATTGTGGTAGGTTTGTGTTGGAGGCTATAAGAGGCAATGGCCCTTGAGGCAAAACAGGCTGCTCTGTGTTTCAAGAAAGTTTTGAGGTTGTCCATTAGAAAAAGCTATACATTTGTTTCCGAACACCCTATCCTTTTCGGTTTGGGTGTCTTGCTCTATCTATTGTACAGATCTTCACCAGGGCTCTTTGTGTTCCTGCTTTCTTCTTCGCCTGTAATTATATGCACTGCTCTTCTTCTTGGAATCCTACTGAGTTATGGAGAAATTAATCTTCCTGAGGCTAGTGAAGATCACAAGGGCACTCCAGAAGTTTCAACTTTCAAGGTTGGAAATTCGTCCAGTGATATCCACTTTGAAGAAAATCAGAGACCTTCAGTGCTTGAATTTAGGGAGAATGCATCAAACTTCAAAGAGAGGGAAACTAAACAGACAGTTTCCTTCAGAGAGAGGGCTAGCGAGCATGTTGATCTTGATGACGATGTCCCTCTTCTGAAGAGAGCTGATGAAGAAGATGAGAGAGGTGATCGGCATAACATACCTAGAACACCTACACCGTTTCCTTCTATGGTCAATCTTTGCCAAGAGTCTGGGATCGTGGAGGACATCACCTTCACCAAGAAAAGACAATCGGAAGGTCCTTTTTTCATTCAGGATATGGTTGACTGTCAGACTAGCCTATTTGATGAGGCCCGCCTGAGTGGTCTGAATGACAAAGATACACCCTTTGGTTTGTTTTCTTCTAGTGAGAATGTTAATAAGCATGCTGAGATGGAGGAAAATCTAGTATTTGCAGATTCAGCAGCTAGTAAAGAGAGAGCTATTTCTGAAGCGAAGCAAACTGAAGAGCTTGCTGGAACTAGCAAACAAGATGCTTCTGTCCCTATTCACCAATGGGAAAAGAATGGCGAGCTTAATGTTGATACTAGCAATGTTGTTGAGGACAACTTGCTTGATTCCTCTCTTGGCTCACCATGGGCAAGAGTTAGCAGTCAGGATGGTTCATCTGGTTTCGACTCTGATCAGGCTGAGAGTTCTTCTCCTGATGCTTCCATGACTGACATTGCTCCAGTTCTTGATGAGATTGACCCACTTTTGGGTGCTGGTTCCAATCGCCCCAATCCTATTCCTAAGGATGATTCAGACACAGATTCTCATGTCTCAGAGGATCATCAAATTGACGATGATAGTAATGATGAGGGCGATGACATTGATGCTAAAGATAATGTGGAGGGGAAGAAGAAAAATGATGGGAAGGAAGTTGCATTTCTTTGGACAGCAGATGATGAAAAGAATCTCATGGATCTTGGGTATTCTGAGATGGAAAGGAACCGCAGATTGGAAATTTTGATGGCTAGACGAAGATCCAGGAAGAACATAAAGTTCGAAATTGATAACAACCTGACAGACGTTGATAGTAATGGTGCCGGTAGGAGTTTAGATGATTTGTCACGCTTCCGTGCACATGTACCTCCTATTGCAGTGCCAAGGAGGAACCCTTTTGACCTTCCGTATGATTCTGAAGAAGCAGCAATTCCTGGCTCAGCTCCTTCAATTCTGCATGCACGGAAGAACCCATTTGATCTTCCCCTTGAACAGTTGAATGACAGTGTTGTCGTCCCTGCCCCAGATAGTTTAAACTCTGGAGAATCTGTGATGTCTCCTCGTCGTGACACGATCTTCAGAAGGCATGAAAGCTTTAACTTTGGAAGGATGGATGCGATCCAGGAGAAGTGTTTTTCTAGACTCAAGCCATATTTTGTCCCTGAAACTGTGGAATGGAATGCAAGCAATTTCCAAAGACAGTTCAGTGATAAGAGTGAGTCTAAAATGAGCTCTGTTACTGAATCTGATATTGCTTCTTCAGTTGCTGATCACGAGGATCACAAGGACCATGATGAAAAGGACCTTGCAGATGTTGGAAGTGAATGCTCAGATGGTATCAACTCCATAGATGTTGAACTAGACAACAGCGACATTGATGACCGTGAGATTTCTCTACAGCACTTTGTCTTTGAAAGATCGCAAGAAAGGGAAGCACATCTTGCTTCAACTAAAGGAAAAGGTCATGAAGAAGATTATACGCCTAAGTCAGCTGGGAGTTCCACGACGCCATTTCATGCAGTTCCTGACCTGCTTAGCTGGGAAGATGGAGATGGTAAGCAAGTTTGATATGACCACTTCGTTTGATTGCTTAATACCACCCTCTGTCCTAAATTGTAGGTCGTTTTGGCTTTTCTAGATACATAGCTTTTACTATGCACCTAGGTATAAGATACATCTAGATACATAATAAAAGTTGTGTATCTAGAAAAGCCAAAATGACCTATAAATTGGAACGGAGGGAGTACTTGTTTTCACAGATTTATTAGAATCATGTCCCATCATGCAGGTAGCAACAGCCTTGGTGCTAAACCTTCTTTTCAACTTAACACAGAAGTTAAATGCTCAGAATGGGTTTCATCCTCCAGACCACCTGTGGAGGGTGAATCTCATTCTGGGGACCTTCCAGAGTACCTTGACACTGAAGTTGCATCAAGCTCAAACACAGTTGTACTTGGTGCAAGCAATGCAGCTGAGAAAGGTGGAAATGTTGATCTCATGTCCTATTCAAACAATGAAACGCTATTAGATAACCTGATTCATGGGTCCATGGAGCTGCCTTCTGAATTTGTCACGGAAACATTGCCGGTCATATCTCGGGACCTACACCCTATCCCAGAGGATAGAGTTGTTGAGAACTTCAACATGCAAGAAAAGCATGAAACAGCAATTTTTACTGATTCAACTGCTGCCTTGACTGGCCATGTAATCGAACAGCACTTTGATGTTGGATCTGATGGAACTCTGAGCTCTGAAGTTGTTTCCTCGTATCCTCATGCTAATGATGCCATCCAATCTCCATCAAGTGAACATGAAGAAATCTTGAATCCCTTTGTTTTGATGACTGCTGAACCTAAGAAGATGGATATAAGTGACATGTATGGCGAAGCAACTGCAGGATATATACTTGATTCTGATGACGAGGCTGATAAAATCTATTCTGAGCCTATGGAGGGCAGTGGAATTGATGAAAGTTTCCTGTTGGAATTAGATGCAGTGGGAGACTTTGGAGTTGAACTGATGAGACTGGACCAGCAGGTGACAGATCAGGCTTCCCATGATGATATCCCTACCAATAGTGTTGCTGCAGATTCTGTTATTAGCCCTCAGACATCTGACAACGTCTCCTTGACCATGTCAGAAGTTGGTGCTGAAGACTCCAGGGAGCAGTCCTCATTGGTTGATGACCTAAATGGCCCTGAATTTGGCTGGTCATTTGGAGCATCTCATGATGACCCTGAGCAGACTGTCTACAATCCTCGGAGACAGATTCTCGAAGCAAGCCCCTTTGAAGCAATGAACATGGAGTTGAAGCCACCACACGATGAGTCAGAAGTGCCTGCTGATGATACACCATCACCAGCAACCTTAGCAGCTGGATCAAGTGAGCCAGAGGTCACTATAAATGGGTTAGTGACATCTACAACCGATCCTGAGATTACTGTTCTAGATGCAAAGTCTCTGGAGGATATTGAGACTGCCTTTAAGCTAGTTAGTGATGGTGTGGTTTCTGAGGCCACCATGGATACTGAAGCTTTGCAGATCTCAGGTGCTGATGCTGCAGAGCCCAAAGGGGCTGCTGGAGAGCTGCATGTCATTGATGCAAAATCTGTGGACAACATGCATGCTGCTTTCCAGAAGCACTTTGATGCTATTGTGAATAGTTCCTTCGAAGAAAATGAAGACAAGTATGGGCATGTAGAGACAGCAGAATCCACGAAGCCTGATGAACTTACTGAAGCAATACATAACGAAAGTCAGCACAACCTAGGAGATGCTAGGGAGGCTTTACCAGTGGAGGGTACAAGCAATATGAGTACTAGTGAAGCAGAGTCACGATGACATTGATGCAGCATCCAATAAGGTCTTCCATAGCAGTGCCAAGAGTACTGCACAGGCAGTGGAGTTCGAGGTTTCTCATGAAAGAGAAGAGGAAAGTGAACATCAATAAATACCACCGGGTTGACTGCTGAAAGGAAACGATAGGATGTCATCAGAGATGAATTTGAGACAAAAATGCTCCTTGGCTGAAGTTTGAAGGAGCTACCGAGCTATAGCAAGCATTGATGGAGCGCTATTGTTGAGTTTCACGGGCTTGCCACTGTGCATATACTTCACATATTCAACATACAAAGTTTTGATGTAGACCTTTTGTGAATGCGTTTTCTTTAACTTCCTTTTATTCTTTTGAGGTTTTGGTGGGTTTGTTTTAGATTGATTCCCCCCCTCCTTTGGCTGTAATTTGAAGAGGTGTAAGTTTTGCTCAGACAGTTTGGTGTGGTTCCAGAGACAGAACAATCTGTTCTACCGTGTGAATTGAGATTTTGTTGTATTATTTGATTGAATTAGTGAAGTTGCCAATAGAAGAATTGGACAGGTACATTTTACCTTTGAAATGAGTCGGTAATATTTACAGTGTCGTTTCCGTGAATAAATTGTTTAATCTACAGCGATCTGCTTATTTGTCAGCACTTGTCCTGTACCTCATGTACAGTAGAGCTCAGAACTTGACAGTAGAAGTTCTACTGCCAATCGTGCAGCTTTCGCTTTTCCTGAACAAAATACACTGCTTCCACTGACTATTTAGCTCGACTGGCATCGCTCGTCTTGAGTCTATTTTAGAGAGAAGTCATTTTGTTAACAGTCAGATGAGACTTGGGAGGTCGGCTGACGGGAGATAGCTTCTTAGTTCCAAGTGTACATATCGCTTATTGCTTTTTAAGGAGTCAAATGTTTTAAAGTTTAACCAAATATATAAAAAGATAATGATAATTATGATGTGTAATAGGTATTTTCATTAGATTGATCATAGAATATGTTTTAAATACTAAATTTATTTGAAGATACATATATTATTAATACTATTTTTATATACCTTAATTAAATTTAAAAGTTTGACTTCAGAGAGTGAGATGTATAGTTATTTCATGACGGAGTGAGTAGATTGGAAACGATTGCTTCCACTGACACCTGATAGGAGACCGAGGCAGTGTTACAGTTGGTTTAATATGAATGGCACCAATTTCAGATGGCAAGAAGGATTATGGCTTTATCGAATACTATAAGCAGGCGTGAGTAGAGTATGCTAAGCAGAAGATGTCTAGTCCAGAATTCAAAAAATATATAAATGCTCCTACTGTCAGTTAGGCAGATCCTAAGAATGATGGTGAATCTGCCTCTACTGCGCAGGTTTTTTTAGCATCATATGACAGAATGGTACCTTTTATGTTTCTTCTTTCATGATATTGTATATCAGTATATGGATGTGCATTTTCGTTCGTGTTAAATCTCTATATGTCTAAAACCTGCCCAGTCATGAGCAGCTGAAAAAGCTGTCTGAGTGCCAAATTACAGAAGTTGTTCTTTCTCTTGCAAAAATGTGGTCATGAAGATGGATGAGGTTTTGTTTACTTTAAGGAACAGTCCATGTCTAAGATCTTGATGACGAGTTTCCTTTGTTCTCTGGCATCTTTCTATAGCCAATCACTTTATCCAGGAGGTCCTACTTTTTTTTTCTCCAACAGGTCAGCTTCTGGGTTGTTCACATGCAAAACCTCCTGCTGATAATACTGTAAAATTACCTTCTGCTAAAGGCCTACCTATAATCTACATGTAAATGACTGGCAAACCCTTACAGTCACTTGAAAATGAACTGACAGGCGCCTAATCCACTTGGAAGTAGATTAACAGTAACACAGGTACTTATGGTGTGCGTCCTGGTCATGCTTGACAGTAGATGACATCTTATGTTTGTAATAACTGTCCCAAATGTGTTTTTTTCTTTTTTTTCTTTTTTTTTGGCATACAAGCAGTAGAGTTGACACAACGCAATTATCCAAAAAGGAGCCCTGAAGGGCTTTAATACAATGCAGAACACCTACACCCCCACACTGAAAACACACACACTAAAAAAACAGCTCGCAGTGGCCCAATAAGGAGGATGATATTGTTCTTACTGTTGTATATCTTCGGCACTCTTGCACCCCTTTTTCTGTGACAGGACACTGCTGCACTTGTGCAGGCAATGCAATGTTGTTTGCTGCTGCTGCTGCTCCACCAAGTTGGTTCTACCCGATGGGCATCTAGTATATGTGTAAGTATTCTGATCTATTTTAAGTATTCTTGTAGAAGACTCATAACGGATGCATTCCATCGATGAACTAATCAGAGTCCAGCACCTACTACGTCTGGATTCCATTGTTGTCTTGTAAACCTGTTGACGGGAGTCCGTTGATGAAGCAAATGGTGGCCTCTTGTTCATATACATTAACTAATCAGGTTCTAATCTTGAATCCAACAGAACAGAGATTTGATTTATGCGTAGATTAGGATTCGGAACGTTGTTTCCGTAGAGGAAGCCGCATCCCCGAAGTGCACCATTCCTTCGATCAATAGAATAGGTTATTTTCTAGTTGCCGTTGAACAAGTATGGTCGTCCTTTATTGGGATGTACTATTTAAACCAAAATTGGGATTATCCGCAAAAAATTACGGTAGAGCGTGGGGTCGTGAGATCGAAGAAGGTATACTATTAGACAAAGGTTCATTCCAGGTTTGCTGCTCTTTTTCTTTTGATTCTTTATGTTTCTGTTTACTTGAGCTAATTCTTTACTTGCTTTCGAGCTAACTTGGCTTGGTGCCGGGAATGGAATCACAGCAAGAGACTAAGGAGAAGGGTGTTTAACCAGTGGCTCTATACAGATTGACGTCCGATAAGCCCAGAGAGCCTCAAGAAGGCGATCTGGCCAGTCTCCAACGACTCAAAAGCATTTGTAGCTATGGTATGGGTCTGGTCTGAAGACCAATGGGTCAGGTCAAAAAAGAGAGGATATCCTCTTCTTTGGCCACACACAGAGAAGAAATGGCTTCATTAGCAGTGTGCCCATAACATCCTCTATTCAGTAGTAGTAGTACCCGAGAAATGTAAAAGTGTGGCACACCTGTGAAAAGTTTTCTGTGTGTTAAAATCATAAAATGCATGTGATTTATTTATTATTTTACGTTTCTTAAATCTGACAAATCAGACACAGTCTGTGTATTTTCAATGAAAATATTATCTCTGCTGAAGGAAGTTGTTTTATGAAATTTTCTATGGTTCAATAGTGTGGTTACATCAGATCATTATCCTTCATCACATTTTTTTTCTGTTTCTTCTTCTTTGATCTTAAGAGCCAACACACTTCGTTAACAAATGTTCGGCTTCCAAATGCTAAAACATGGGCCAAAGCCAAAGCCCAAAAAATATTTATTTCAGAATTGGTTGGGGTGCGCCAGGCTCGGGCTATAGTGCAATGATGCCCGACCGACACGCGAGGGCCCCATTGGCAAGCCACTGTGATGGACCCTCCCCCACAAAAAATAAATTTAATATCGAAATGGGCACATGGCCCACATATCAGATATTAGACTGATAAGAACAGATACTACACTTGATCTTAGCCAAAAGGCTGAGAAAGGTATGAATTGCCAAGGTACCCTGGGTCTCCTTTTATAGCCTTCCTCCGTCTCCGCTCGCTCAAAGCTGCCGAGCTGGGACTAAACTAAAGCGCCACACCGCACAGGCGCAGCGTAGCGCAACGCGCTTGTTGTTGCTCTGTTTGGTCACTTGGGCCTTTTGGGCTCGCAATTTGGCAATCCCACACATTGCTCGTGGGCCGGTCCTTCCTGCTCGCCTCCTCCCAACTAACTGACCGTGCGCGCAGCGGAGATGGGAGATGACCGTGGTGACAATAGCAATGACAGCCGAAGGGTCTGACAATGTCGGTGCTTAGAAGTTAAATAGAACCTTAGATTTTTGTGTGTGCATCACCATGCTGGGTCTATAACAAGATGTTTTAATAATACCGATCTGATCACCCTCCTCTAATTTAACATGACTTTTTTTTTCTTTGAAAGCTGAAGATTTGTAAACTGAAAGTAAATGCCATGCACGCAATCGATGATTAACGGTAGTGTTGAATTTGTGATTGACAAGCAGCAACAAGTGAAGTCGAGATGGCAAAAGTGATCAAATGAACAAGGCTAAACTCTGAATTCTGAACCGTAAATATCCAACTGAATACTGAACTTGAAGTTTGAACTGTAAATATCCAACTGAATACTGAACCTGAAATCTGAACTGGTGGGAGCATTGTGCGCATCTTCCAAGCCACGTCTCCTGCCCATGCCTGCCCATCTGCTACAAAAAGAACACACTTGGATGAAAATATTTTCCTAGCAAGTATTTTTCTCTCTGCAGAGGATGAACAGGGACAGACGGACAGCAACATAGAACACACTCCAATAGAAGGCTTATAAGCCCACAGAGACATACAAAGTCTCCTGCCTTTGTGGCTTAACACGCGGGAGGCTACTTATTACAGACTTCATCCAGAGCAGCCAAGAAATATAACACATTGTATGGTTATATTAGTAGAGAAAACAACAGAATTGCTTATCCGAACACATCCGAGGCGAGATTCGCAACTGCAGGTGATATATAGGGGGAAAAAAGAAGACCGCAACTGCAGCAGGTGCTGATCCGAATAGGCCGGAGACGAGATCCCAGCAGCAGTGCAGAACCTGCGCCCGCCGCCGCCCACCAGCTCATACTCTCACACAACCAAGGACCAGGACACGGCACACGCCGCTCCGACCAGCTCACGTGAGTGCTCTGCTCGCTTCACTGATCCGGAGGCGGACGCAGCGCCAGCGCCGCCCGCCCGCCCCGTGCCTCTCCTCGCCGGGCTATTAGCCCCATCAGCCGCGCTCCGTCGGCATGTGCCGCCGCGTGGGCACCGCGCGTGACCGATGCTTGGAGCTGGAGCGCGTCATCGCCGGCCGCGCCGGCTCGGGAAGCCTCCGCCTCGACAACGCGCTCAAGTTGTTCGATGAATTGCTTCCCTACGCCAGGGCCGCCTCGGTTACCGCCTTCAACCAGCTCCTCACCGCTGTGTCCCGTGCCTCGGGCCAGCGCTCCTCCACCTCAGAGTCGGGGATCATCGTCTCCCTCTTCAACCGGATGGTACGTGACTGCTCCATCGAGGTGGCTCCTGACCTTTACACCTACAACATCCTCATTGGCTGCTTCTGTCGCATGGGCCGCCTGGAGAATGGCTTCGCCACCTTCGGCCTCATCCTGAAGACGGGCTGGAGGGTGAATGGCATAGTCATCAATCAACTGCTCAAGGGCCTCTGTGACGACAAGAGGGTGGGTGAGGCCATGGACCTATTGCTTCGAAGAATGCCAGAGTTTGGGCTCACATCGGATGTAGTTTCATACAACACACTCCTCAAGGGTTTCTGCAATGAAAAAAGAGCTGATGAGGCACTTGAGCTGCTCCACGTGATGCCTGATGGTCAAGGTAGTAGCTGCTCACCAAATGTGGTGTCACACAACACCGTCATCAACGGTTTCTTTAGTGATGGTCAGGTGGATAAAGCTTACAGCCTGTTTTTTGAAATGCAGGTGTTTCACCGGACGTTGTGACATACAACACAGTAATTGATGGCATGTGCAAAGCTGAAGCAGTTGACAGGGCTGAGGGTATCTTCCAACAGATGATTGATAAAGGTGTTAAGCCAGACAATGTGGCATACACTTGTTTGATCCATGGATACCTCTCTATAGGACAGTGGGAAGAGGCGGTTCCAAGGTTCAAAGAAATGTCTGCACCTAGTCTTGAGCCAGATGGTTTTACTTATGGTTTGCTTCTGGACTATCTATGCAAGAATGGAAATTGCAGCGAAGCTTGAAAGCTTTTTGATTCTATGATTAGGAAGGGCATAAAACCTGATATAACTATCTATGGCATTATGCTTCATGAATATGGTACCAAAGGAGCTCTTTCTGAAATGCATGGTCTCCTGAATTTGATGGCAGCTAATGGTATTTCACCTAATCATCACATCTTCAACACTGTGTTCTGTGCATATGCTAAAGAGGGAATGATAGATGAGGCGATGCATATATTTATCAAAATGAGGCACCAAGGATTGAGTCCTAATAACATCAGTTATGGAGCATTAATAGATGCACTTTGCAAGTTAGGAAGAGTGGATGATGCTGTGCTCCAATTCAATCAGATGATCAATGAAGGAGTGACTCCTGGCAATGCTGTTTTTAGCTCCCTTGTTTATGGACTCTGCTTTGTTGACAAATGGGAGAAGGTTGAGGAATTGCTTTTTGAAATGTTGAATCAAGGGATTCGCCATAACATCGTGTTCTTCAACACAATATTGTGTAACTTATGCAGAGAAGGGTGGGTCATGGAAGCCCGGAGGCTCTTTGACTCGATGGTATGTGTGGGTCTAAGGCCTGATGTTATCTCATACAATACATTAATAGATGGCCACTGCTTAGTTGGTAGAATGGATGAAACAGTGAAGATACTTGACGACATGGTCTCAATTGGCTTGAAACCTAACATCGTTTCCTATAATACATTGCTTCATGGCTACTGTAAAGCTGGCAGGATAGACAATACATACTGTCTTTTCCAAGAAATGTTGAGGAAAGGAGTTATGCCTGGAGTTGTGATTTATAGTACTATACTGCATGGTTTGTTTCGGACAGGGAGATTTTCTGAAGCAAAGGAACTGTACCTCAATATGATTACAAGTGGATAACAGTGGTCCATTTGCACATACAACATAATTCTAAATGGGCTTTGCAAAAATAATTGTGTTGATGAAGCATTCAAAATGTTTCAGAGCCTGTGTTCTAAGGATCTTCAACTTGACATTATTACTTTCAACATCATGATTGATGCTTTGTTCAAAGTTGGCAGAAAGGAAGATGCCATGGATTTGTTTGCTGCTATCCCTGCTAATGGTCTGGTTCCAAGTGTTGTGACCTACTGCTTAATAGCAGAAACTCTCATAGAAGAAGGGTCCCTAGAGGAGTTTGATGGTCTGTTTTCAGCAATAGAAAATAGTGGTACTGCTCCAAACTCATGAATGCTAAATGCTCTAGTTAGGTGGTTGTTGCATAGAGGTGACACACGCAGGGCTGGGGCTTACCTCTCCAAACTTGATGAGAAGAACTTCTCACTTGAGGCTTCCACTACTTCCATGCTTATATCACTTTTCTCGAGGAAGGAATATCAGCATGATGCAAAGTCCCTGCCTGAAAAGTATCGTTTCCTCAATGAAGCCAACAAATGAGTGTTGAAAAAAAATGAGTTCAGTTTTCAACAGTTCGGATCATCTTTATGTGACATGTAAATTTGGAGTGACTATTCTGTCTCGTGCTCTAACTTTCTTGGCCATGCTCTGTGGTATTCTTCTAGAGAAATGTTCTCTTGTTATTGCACTTCACAATCAAGTTTGTCAACAGGTAAAATAATTGTGTGCAGTCCTAGTTAGCTTGACAACAGGAATCAGCTGCATTTATTGCATAATTTGTGAAGAAAACCCTGCCCTCCCGGATTCCTATAAGTTGAACTTGTGTATCCCCCCTCAAGTTAGCAGTGTAAGATATTTGCTATGTTTTTACCTCACACAAGCTATGTTAAGAGCAAGTCCTATACATATTTCTACAAGGCACTCCTCAATTTTTTTTTCATCTCATAGTATCCGCCTTTCGTATGCTGTTTTGATCATGAGTGCAACTGTGCATATAGCGCATCTCTGCAGTTCTTCGGAAATGCTGTTAGAACTTTCCCCCTTCCTTTTGCAGTCACAACACCTCTAATATTCTTCCATTGGATTGAAATGCTTAGCTGGATTAGTTGCGGTAGATGTCTCTGTATTTATTAAGTGTCCACTGCACGAGAAACAATGAGTAATTAGCAAGAGAATGCCCTGCATGATGACTAAGTGGTTGCGTTGTAATTCAGTTGTACTCGATGGTTGCACTTGAAGCATTTCCAATTAGATACTAATTGGACCATGTTATTATTGTTCTTGTAGCTGGGAAGACAGTAATATATAAATCAGCCATGGAAAAATTGTTTGCAGACTATGCATTGTACTTGTGCATGAAGGCATGATCTTTAGTTTTTTTAGAAAAAGCATAGTATGTTCTAAAAGAACGGAGTAGTGGGCATTTTCCACAGAGGAGATGCCATGTTATCATTGAGAGTGTCATGTCTTGCTTTGTGACCTATTCCTAGTACTCCTGGGCAGCTATTGGGAATACACTCATACTGATCACGCAGCAGCACTGCAGCAGTCAGCAGGGAGGGCGTCCAGATCAGGGGCTACCTGTTTCTCATCTGTCATCTCTGAATTTTGTTCTCCATTTCATGTATCCTGTCCTGTTATTTCCTACACATTATTTTGTACTGTATTCAACCGTGGCACAATTTGTGACATTATGTTTTGATGGTTCATACTTTTGTTACCAGAATGTGCACACGATCGATCTAGAGATCATCTATTGGTCGGTCTATTTTGTCACATTCACCATAGAATCCACATAATACCACTGCTTAAGCAATGATTTCAGTTACCTGCAAGTTACGGCATTTGAGTGCAGAACAAGATGAAAAATGTGAGGGTCCATGATACTAATACTATCTGCTGCATCTATATATGATTGCTTGGCCAATTATCTTGACATAATGAACTGGTTTATCTCTGGGTTGGCATCGTGGACCAGCACGACGAGACGTGCCGATGCCAACGCACGGGCGCAGGCCTCGCCGGCTGCTGGCCGCGCGAGTGTGGGGCGCATTACTCGCGGCCTTGGCCGCTGGTGCGAACATTCCTGGGCAGCTGACCTGAACACTTCGTAGCAGGAATATTTGACTGCAATCATAATGATCATAAACTAAGCCAGCACATCACTTGGTTACGTGTAGCAGTCTGATCCTTGACCCGCGTGGTCCACTGTCAGGCGCGTTCTGAGCTGTGTAGCAGCTGGCCGTGGGTATACCTTCACTGTGAAGCTATTCAGTTACTACTAGTAGGCCTGTCGTCTAGCTCGAGGAGGAAGCCGCGTTACCGTGAAACGGATAAGCCTGCCATGGCACGAGAGCACGGATCGAGGGGTCGGGGCCCGGGGCTCGACTGGACGATGGCTGTGTGTGACTTGTGAACACGCGTGGCCTGCCGTGCGTGCACGTGCACCCAGCCCAGTGCCGATAGCTCCCAGATCAGTCCATGCCCGGTTCCTTCGTTTTCCTTAAACCTGTCGCCGCGCACGACACGGTTCCAACTCTTCTTTCCCTGGAACGCACCGCACCCGATCGGTCGGCGATCGCGTCGCCTGGGCCCCCGTGCCCGTGCCCGCGCATCGTATAAAGCCCGGGCCCTCCGCCCCCAGACCTTGCCGCCTCTCCCGTGACCCGTCTTCGTCTTCCCGTCCGCGCCAGCTCAGCAGCTCAGCCCCAGCTATCCATCAGCTTTGCCTCCTCGCACGTCCGCCGCTTCTCGCGTCGAGGCCGCCCGCGCGCGCCACTCTGAATCCCCAAGACACCACACAGGACAGCCTCGAGAAGAGCCATCGGCAACGCCGAGCACTAGCAGTCAGCCGGGCAAGGTACACGTCTCCTTCGCTCTCATCTTTGGATTGATTTGCCCTCTGCGTTCGTTTGCGCGTGGTGAGCCAAGGTTTTGTCGTCGCACACATCAGTTTGTAGCCTCTCGCACCATATTTTGTCGACGGCGACAGGCAAGAGCTGCCAGCTGCGTCGTCAATGATGTCCTAGGTGCTTCGGAATGCCGGTTTTCTGATCCAATGCTGACTATTTCGTTTCAGATTTGACAATTATTATTTAAGTTTTGATCTGTGCTCCTCATAATTTACAATCAAACGCCAGTAATTAGTTTTTTTTATCTACATTTAATACTCCACACATGTGTTTAAAGTTGGTGGTTCTTGTGAGTTGTGATCTGTAGCAGTTGGTGGTTGTTGTGAGTTGTGACGTGTAAAAGTATCTTCCAACTGTTCATTTCCGATAGTTTATCTTATCCGGGCTTCTACTCTCCAATTCCTTTTTGGGAGAGAGTATCCTGGGACTGAAACGATTAATTTCCATTTCCTTTTCGGAGAGTTTATCCTGGGACTGAAACTATCAATTGGGAGTGCAATCTGCAGGGAGCCAGGGGGACGTATGCATTCGAGTGGCTTCCAAAAGCACACCGTGCTAGATTAATTGTTGGAACCAGCACATGGCATTCCAAATTCTCTTTATTATATAAAACCATGCTTTAAATCCTTTTTCTTTAAAAAGAAAACGATTCACAGTTTCACACCCAGGAAGGATAATTAGGCATGTATCGTAGGATTTACACCGTTGAGTAAATCATCAATATGGCCTCATTATAACCCCGCGCGCGGGTGCATTTGCATGCAGATTGATTCGGAGGAGCGCCTCGAGGAGCAGCCGATGATGCACGGGAATGGGCACGGGCACGGGCACGGGCACGGCCGTGTCCACCCGGCGGCGTCCTCCAGCTCCGACTTCTCCGGCGAGATGAACCAGTCCGTGTCCGACCCCTCCTCCAGCCCGCTCTACAGCTTCCACTTCGAGAAGCCCGTCCCGCAGCAGCAGCAGCAGCCGGGCACGTACGTGGTGCAGGTGCCCAAGGACAAGGTCTTCCGCGTCCCGCCGCCCGAGAACGCGCGCCTCTTCGACCACTACACCCGCCGCGCCAAGCGCCGCCGCGGCCGCTCCTGCGCCCGCGTCTGCGCGTGCCTGCTCGCGGGGGCCGTCGCGCTCGCCGTCCTCGCCGGGGCCCTCGCCGGCATCGCGTACCTGGTCCTCAGGCCGAAGCAGCCGGCGTACACGGTCCAGGCGCTCGCCGTGTCCGGCCTCGCCGAGCTCGGCAACGCCTCCTCCGCCGGCGTGTTCTCGCCGGGGTTCGACGCGACCGTGCGCGCCGACAACCCCAACGGCAGGATCGGCGTGCGCTACGAGGGAGGCCGGAGCCGCGTCTCCGTGTCCTACGACGGCGTGCTCCTGGCCGACGGCGCGTGGCCGGCGTTCTACCAGGGGCCCCGGAACGTGACGGTGTTCGTGGCCAAGGCGAAGGGGTCCGGGATACGGTTCTCGCAGCGCGTGCGGGGGCAGATGGCCGCGGCGGAGCGGCTCCGATTGGTGCCGTTCGACGTGGACGTCGAGGTGCCCGTGCGCCTGCAGCTCGGCAAGGTCAGGACGTGGGCAGTGCCGGTGCGGGTGTACTGCACCGTGGCGGTCGACAGGCTCGCCGCCGACGCCAAGGTGGTGTCCAGGTCGTGCGACGTCAAGGTGCACCTCCTGTCCTGGAGGAACTGACGATGGCGGATTACATGACCAAAACAGTTCTAGTTTGTTTTAGGATGCATTTTTCCTCATTTGTAAGTTGGTTTTGATCGAGCAATATGAATCAAATCATCGTAATATCATGTCATGGATGCTGCAAAATTGTCTTGCGACTTGTGTTGCTGGTGAGTTGCTCACCTGTTCTTTTGCTCAAGAGTTAAGACCGAGGAAACCGTTGTTTGTAGTTGACTACTCGTGTTCCATTGCACAGGAAAAACGCTATTGAAAACTGACTGTTAACACTTGGAACTGAATACACGTCTTGGCGACATGATTTCCAGTCGTAACTTCACTTCCAAACACCGCCTGTTGTGTGTTGGTGACATGATCACCTGAATACTGGGTAAATCTGTCAAGTGAATTGACTCTAGTGTTTTGTCCAAGTAAAACTCAAATTTGCACCATGACCTAAAAGTTGTCCACTTACCATCTAACCAATTTGGACTTCAAGGGAGAACAATTCTTATGCTCCGGCGTGGACTGTTGCTTGATTTTGCTCAAATTTGGTGGGTGCAACATAGGGGAATAGCAGAACAGATGGGAGCTAAAAGTTAGCAATAATAGCGAACGGCTCCGCAAAATGTTTTTAGTTTCACACTGTGGAAGTTTTGCATAACTGTGAAAGCCACCACAAGCACAAAATTCATAGAGCTGGAGCCGATTCAAAACATTCGTGGCTACAAATTTACGTGTCACTCTATATCGTCAAATAGACTGTTTTTTTTTTGTCCTCAGGGGCATGGGGTGGGAGCACATGCCCCTATAGGTAGATTTATGACATGTTTGGTTCACCCATCATAACTTTAGTCACTTTAGCTACTAAACTGTTAAATAAACTGATTAAAAGAGGACTAAAGTAGTTTAATCACATTAGTACCTCAAGGAGGTGGTAAAGTGGGCTAAAATGCTGTCGATGCGGGACCCATAAGGTTCCCCACGGTGAAGAGAGAATAAGACTTAGTCCAAATAGGATTCTCCTCATATAATCCTACTAGGATTAGTACACGTAATCCTACTAGGATCTCTACTTTGTAACCGACTAGACTCCCGCCTCTCCTGGACTATATAAAGGAGGGCAGGGGTCCCTAGATCGGCAGACCTAGCTAACACACACACATGGGCGACAGACATAACCGACAGAACTCACAACCACAACAAATAGCGCAGGGCACAATATACTATCCACCCCATACTGGACGTAGGGCGCCGTGACTTTCCGGCGTGCCGAACCAGTATAAATCGTTGTCTCCCTGCGTTTACCATCGAGTTCCTGCAAACGCCGATATCCCTCCGAACAAATCACCGTCCGGGTACTCCCGTGGCGGGTTACCGGTGGTAAAACATCGACAGCTGGCGCGCCAGGTAGGGGTTCTCGGCGCTTTGCGTTCGAGAGCTCGGTGGACCTCAGATCAAAATTCGCCGCGGTTCTCGTCGGCCCTTGTCAACAAGACGCTGCAATTCCCGTCAACCACGATCAAGAACTCGCTACGGATCTCTGCGCACGGCCAAGGTGTCCTGATTCAACAAGCAAGCAAGTGAAGCCGCACGTTCAAATTTGCAGAAGACTCAAGGCACAAGTCGAGTCGGTCAACTACTCGCGCCACGACGAAGAGTCCGACATCACCACATGTTGGATCAGCTAGCATCAACCCGGCAAGGAGTACATCCCGGCGTTATCAACTCGGATACGGAGCTGGATCGGAGGACAACGGGATTTATCCGAGAACATCCGAGTTCAACTCCAAGAACGCGACATCCGAAATCAACTCAGTATATCCGGAGACATCGACTACATCAAGACATCCCACGGCGCCACAACAACAAACAAATACAAGGAAGGCGTGTGTATATATATACGTACAAGCAAGACCGAAGCCATCCAAATTGATTACTGGACACATACAAGACTACAAGATGGATATGTGAACTAGTACACATACACAGACAAAGATCAACTTTCATCCGGCACCCGCGACAACTCCATCACATACGTCAAGCTAGATGGATGCACCGTACGCACACTGTCGGCAACGACCACGACAAAGGCTTTCAGAGAACACGACGCGGGTTCCGAGTTGTTCGAGTACTCGACATACCGCCACTCAACTGGTTTACCCCATCAACAAAACGACTCGCCATAAACCAAGCTAAGTCACGTCTCATTTTTTTATATATTCCGGATATTATTCATATACCTCTGTGGTCATATTATCTTCCCTTAACGGCTGTTAATTTTCTCGGATAGTAAGCCTTAATTCGTGAAGCTTGTTTTTTCGAATGGATGGTCACGTCAATGAACCTCTGAACCATACGGATGGTCACGTCAAAGAACCTCTGAACCATATGGGTGGTCACGTCAATGGACCTCTGAACCATACGCGAGATTCAAGTGCTTAAACGTAACAGGCTACTACCTAGAAAATTAACCGACCTAGCAAGGGAAGACACAAAAAATCATCATGCGAGCAAACATAGTGCTCTAGGTCTTCTCTTAACGGTCGCCGAATTCCTCAGGTAGAACACGCCTTAATCCGTGAAGCTTGTCTACTCACATGGACGGTCACGAACCGAGTGCCAGGCTCACATGGTCACGTCATGAACCTCTAAACCATACGCCAGAGATTCAAGTGCTTAAACGTAACAGGACACTACCTGAGGAATTTGCATGGCCTAGCAAGAGCAAGACGCAAAAAGTTTATATGCATTTCATAATGCCGGGGCCCGCCCCTAATTGATTATTCAAATATGGGACATGCTCCTGACTTCATATCCGGAATATCATTTACAACATATTTTTATGTTTAACATGCAGGGGAGCTGAGAGCTAGTCCAGAAACAAGCTGGTTTGAACAAAAAAGAACCCCGACAAGGTGCGGCAAGAACCAAGACAAGCGCTTAGAAAGAACCCAGAACGATCAGAAAACAACCCTGAAGAGGTGCTGCAAGTAACAAGACAAATTCAGAAAGAACCCGGATTGATCAGAAAACAACCCGAATGAGGGTACATACAAGTTCAGAAAGAACCTGGACGAAGTGCAAACAACCTAGAAGAGGTACATCAAGAACCAGAGAAGTCCAGAAACAACCTGGATGAATAAAAAACAACTCGAAAGAGCATCACGGTTTAGTCAAACACTAAGCTCGGGGGCTCAGCATTCGCTTCAACTACGCCCGGGGGCTCGAATTCAAGGATGAAAGACCAAGAATACAAGTACTCAAGACTACAACAACGACAACACATCAAAACCCTTCATCCGTTTTCTATTCTAAAGAAAAGTACTCGGAGAAGGCTCGGGGGCTGCGGGATACATAACCCCAAAAATTTTTTAAGACAAGAATCTGGACCCTCCAACTTTTGCAAGCAAAAGCAAGAGGCTCGGGGGCTACACTCAGTGAGTGCAATTTTTACGAAAAATTGCACCCACCGAAAAAGAACTCGGATCAACCAAGAAGACTAAAGGGACCCTCTGGCTTCTTGTCCCAACAAGCAAGAGGCTCGGGGGCTATACTCACTGAGTGCACTTTTGTGCAAAAGTGCACATCAGCCGAAGAAAAGACAAAGAAGACCATCTCAAGATCTCGCTTCAAGAAAGAACCCAGAACAAGTCTACAACAACCCGGCCCTTAAAGCTCAATCATGAAATGCTCGGGGGCTTGTCGATGCGGGACCCATAAGGTTCCCCACGGTGAAGAGAGAAGAAGACTTAGTCCAAATAGGATTCTCCTCATGTAATCCTACTAGGACTAGTACACGTAATCCTACTAGGATCTCTACTTTGTAACCGACTAGGACTCCCGCCTCTCCTGGACTATATAAAGGAGGGCAGGGGTCCCTAGATCGGTAGACCTAGCTAACACACACATGGGCGACAGACATAACCGACAGAACTCACAACCACAACAAATAGCGCAGGGCGCAATATACTATCCACCCCACACTGGACGTAGGGCGCCGTGACTTTCCGGCGTGTCGAACCAGTATAAATCGTTGTCTCCCTGCGTTTACCATCGAGTTCCTGCAAACGCCGATATCCCTCCGAACAAATCACCGTCCGGGTACTCCCGTGGCGGGTTGCCGGTGGTAAAACATCGACAAATGCCCAGTAGACAGGGGCTGCCCCTCATTATTGCCTATCTCCACCCTGATTTGCGCATTCATTAGGGGTAGTTTGGTCTTTGTTGAACTGCTTTAATGGCCTTTAGTCACTTTTAGTCGTTACAACCAAACGGGGGTGACTAAAGTTTAGTCATTGATTTTAGGAGCTAAATTTTAGTCATGAAAAATCAAGCGGGGCCTTAAATTTCCCCACATACGCTTCATATGCCAACCCAGGGTTTGTTTGGATCCCATAGGCTAAACTTTAGTCCTTCACTTTTTGCCTTTGGGGACCAAACAAGTGGGCTAAAAGGAGATGACTAATTTTTAGCACCCATTAGTCCATTTGCCTCTTAAGGTGGGCTAAAGAGGGCTAAAAATGCTTTTACTCTCTTTCTCTATCCTCTCTCTTTCACCTTTTAGCACCTGGATCCAAACAGCCATCTTGGGCTAAACTTTAGTTACTAAACTTTAGTCCAAGACTAAAGATCTAAACAGACCCTCAACAACATGTCATTTAACCCAAACAATTCTAATAAATGACACAAATAGCAAGCAAGATAGCAACCGAAACTCATATGACAAAATGAAAGCTGACACACAAGTAGGAGGCATATAAAGGATTTACGTGGAAATCCTTTGCGAGGAAAAACCATGGGCGACGACAGAGACAATCCAATATGAGAATGGATGATACAAAAAGCAAAAGTCAAAAAAAAAGTTGGATGTTTTCTATCTAAGAACAGGGTTTAAAAAAAACGGATGGAAGATGTACTCAATCTTTATTTGTCGCGTGCGTTGAAGTTGTTGCCAATGCAGGGACACGCCTTAATGTGTGCTTGGACTAGACAGTGTGTGTGCGCCGTCTTCCCCGTGA